GAAACCCAGATTTACCCCTGTGGTGAATGTGGCAATTGACCATATGGGCAGGAGGAAAGCGGCTAATGGCCTTAGCAGTCGATGCCGCTGTGGGCTTAAAAAAAAAAAAAAAAAATAATATATAATAATAAATATAGCTATATATAATAATAATAATATATAATATAGTTATAAAAAATAATAATTATAATTATAATAATATAATTAATATAATAATATAATAGTTATTATATATAAAAATAATAAGAATAATAATAATAAGTTATAATAATAATAATATAATAAAACATGATAATAAATAATATAATTAATAATAATAATAAAATAATCATAATATAATAATTATATTTAATATTAATAATATAATAATATATCATAATAATAATCATAATAATAATGATTATAATATATTATTAATAAATAATAAGATAATAATAATTATAATAATATAATAATCATAATAATATAGAATTATAATAATAATAATAATCATAATAATAATACTATATAATATAAATAACAATATAATAATAATATAGTTATAATAATATTATAATAATAATCATAATAATAATATTTAATACTAATAATATAATAATTCTACTTTAATCTTATAACAATAATAATAATCATAATAATAATATTTATGATAATAATAATAATAACAATAATAATAATCGGACTCGACGCTATGCGACGAGGTCCGCATCCGGCAGGGAGCGTAGGGGAAGGTCGCACCCGGTCGTCATCCAGCGAAAGCCCCCCACAGATAGTGTGAGAAGTAACTCCAATGACCCCATCCAACAGCTTCCTGGGGTCGAAGATGGCAATCATGTTGCTGGAAGCCAAGAGCCCCAGCCCATAATGCCAGACAATAGGAGGAGAAAAAGAACCACGTGGACCACTGAAATGAACAGATTTGTGGTTCGCTCCTACTACAGAATAACTAAACTAGAAACATCTACAGAGCCCTATGGTACTGAACTACACAGACAAGTTATCATGAACTTCCCTCACCTGCAACGCAAAACTGTGCAAAACGTACTAGACCAGCGCCGATCCGTATTCATAAACAACAGATTGCCGGCAGAGGAGATAAACAAAATAAGAGAAGAGATATCCATAGAATTAGGAATGCAGGTACAAGCTCCGCAAGAGCACACAGAAAACCAAGAACAAATTGAGATAAACGATGGCCAACCATCTAAATACGCAGATGAGTTCAGGGGCTTGTTCATGAAGTTATGATGGTGTGGAACCAACTCTTAAACCAAGCCTACCAAAGCTAATAATAAAACCCCATACATCTGAGTATATCGCTGAAGTTAACAAAGTAATAGATAACGAGATTACAGAAGATACAACCTTGACTGAGCTCCATAGCCTGTTGTACATTGGAGCACTTACAGTCCTAAATTAAATGAACAGAGAGTTGGCGAACAATGTGTAAGGAAAAACAGAAAACTGCCAGCCTGGGAGATGAGGATATCGCGTAATATAGAGGAGATTAGAAAGGACATAGCAATACTCACCCAGTACCGCAGGTCTGACTGTAGTCTGAGAGTAAAGAGATCCGCAGAGAATGTGATAAACCGTCACTGCTCGGAGGAGAACCCAACAGCCGTAGAAGTCTTGGACTACCTGAAGCAAAAACTAGCAGCTACAGCACTGCGACTTCGAAGGTACAAGAAAAGCAACGAACGCCGGAAACAAAATCGAGCATTCGAGACCAATCAGTGAGGCTTTTACAGGAACTTGCAGGCGCGACGGAGGGATACAGATCAGAACAACGTTCAGATTCCTACCTCAGATGCCATCAATACCTTCTGGTCAGGAATTTGGAGCAATCCAATCAATCATTCCACATCTAAATGGTACCCGCCAAGAGAAAGCAAATAATTCAACTTTCAGGACCATGCTCGACTGGAAAGTAAGCTTAGATGACGTGGTAAATACTCTACGAAAATTACCAAACTGGAAAGCCCAGGATCAGATAAGCTTCAGAATTATTGGCTAAAAACGTTCACTTCAGCTCACGATCGACTCGCAAAGTGTTACACCTCAATCTTAGAGCAACCAGATATGTTGCCAGAGTTCTTAACAATGGGAATAACATATTTAATCCCAAAGTGCGGCGATCACTCGAACGATCCGGCAAAATACCGACCAATCACCTGTCTGCCGACTATTTACAAGGTATTGACTGCTATAATTACTGAAAAGATATATTCACACCTAGAGCGGAATACTATACTAGACGAAGAGCAAAAAGGTTGCCGAAAAGGGTCTCGAGGCTGTAAAGAGCAACTTGTTATAGACTCTGTCATAACTAATTATGCCAAAAAGAAAAAAATACCCCTGTACATTGCATACATCGATTATCAGAAAGCGTTTGACAGTATACCTCACTCTTGGCTGTTAGAGGTGCTTGACCTTTATGGGATCGAGTGCCACATCAAACAATTTCTGGCACATGCTATGGCGAATTGGAAGACACGGCTCTATCTCAACACCCAAGATACGCAATTCAGTGCCGGAGAGGTATCCATCAAGAGAGGAATATTTCAAGGAGACTCTTTAAGTCCGCTATGGTTCTGCTTAGCGCTTAGACCGTTAACAACAATGCTAAATAGCCAAAAGAAAGGAATACTGTTAGGTGGCAATGAAACACGCATTTCACATCTTTGGTACATGGACGACCTCAAACTTTTTGCAGAAGCAAAAGAACATCTTCATAAGCTTCTGGACTGTGTAAGTAAATTCAGCACTGACATCAAGATGCTGTTTGGCTTAGACAAGTGCAAGATCAGTTGCATGGTAAAAGGCCAGTGGAGTAAACATTCAGGATATGAGCCGAACCAAGTGCAAGGGAAATTGAAGGAATGCAGGAAGATGAACAGTATAAATACTTAGGCTATCTACAAGCGCCGGGCATAGACCAGAAAGCTGCAAAAGAAAAGGCAATGGAGCACTATAGAACACGTTTGAGGGCGGTGCTGAAAACAAGTCTGTCAGCTCGTAATACAGCACTTGCTGTCAGCACCTACGCTACTTCGGTCCTTACCTAAACGTTTGGCATACTGAACTGGACGGATACAGAACTGAACGCACTTAATGTGGAAACCAGAAAAGAATTCCGTAAATACCGGGGACACCACCCACATAGTTCCATAGAGCGGTTCCATCTACCACGAAGTGAGGGTGGCAGAGGAATACCTTGCATACCTACACTACATCACCGCCAAGTGGACAATCTACGCCAGTACTTCCTCCAAAAAGCCACATCCAGCAGAATGCATCAAGCAATAACACAGACGGATAAAAAGTTGACACCACTAAACCTTTCAGAAAAATCTTTCGACCCTGAGGCAAAGATAACCCCAATGCAGGGTCTGGTTCGCCAATGGAAAGCCAAACCACTACATGGTCGGTATAGGAGCCGCATAGAAGACAACGCCATTGACACGAAGGCTTCCCAAGGATGGTTGCAGTCAGGTAATCTGTTCCTGGAGACGGAGGGCTTCATAGCCTCCATCCAGGATCAGGTAGTCCCAACAAAGTTGTACCGAAAGCGTATAATGCATGAGAACGTTGACGATATCAGATGCCGCATATGTGGGGAAAAAGATGAGCACATAGATCATATTGTAGCAGGCTGCTCTCCCTTAGCTCCTAAACAATATCTTGAAAGGCACAATGATGTGGCCAAAATACTTTATCAAGCTTTGGCTAAAAAGCATCTAGGCGAAACTGGTACACAGCCCTACTATAAATACACGCCGCCACCTGTGATAGAAACGGAGACCTCTAGGCTGTACTGAACCGTAAAATCATAACTGACAGGCCCATCCCCAACAATATTCCTGACATAGTGCTCACACTAAAGAAGAAAGAACGACGTTTATAATAGACATAGCTGTGCCTCTTCCTACTAATATCCAAACCACCCATGCGGAAAAAATCAATAAGTATTTGCCACTCTCCGACGAAATCAAACGCATGTGGGAAATGGGCAATGTGTCTATAATACCAGTTATAATAGGAGCTACTGGAGAGATACCAAGGAAACTACACAAGAGTCTGGAAAAGCTACAGCTCCATCCAAAAATATACTTGCAACTGCAAAAAGCTGCACTGCTGGGAACATGTAGGACAGTACGTAGGGTTTAGGAGATGAGAACCGGATACGGTGAAAAGACCGCTGCAGATCTATTTCCTTACTTTGGCTAACCGCCTGAGGGAAATAAATACCTTCGACAGAGGAGTAAAATAGTATAAAAATAATTATAATTTAATAAATAATAATTATAATCATAATAATAATAATATTTAGAGTAATAATAATAAAACAATAATATATATAAAATAATAATAATTATAATAATATAATAATAATAATAATAAAAATAATATAATAACAATCATAATAAATAATCATAATATAATAATAATAACAATAATAATAATAATACTAATAATAATAATATATAATAATTTATTATTATTATTATAATAATTATAGCTATAATAATAATAATACTTATAATAATAATAATAATAATAGCTATAATTGTTGGAACGCGTACTAGCGTCACCCGCCGCGCCGCTCCTGGCGAGACAACAGAAGGTTTGCTAACCTAGAAGCTTGTAACCGCCGTCCTGTCCCCGCGCGCCGCACCTCGGAATGCTTGTCAGTCGTGAAGAGTCAGTGGTGCATTTCTAGGGACGTCTCCCTAGTTCTAGGGAGAATTACGATGTTTTCTAGTTCTAGGGACTTTTAGGGAAATAGGGAAATTCTAGGGATTTTTTACCGTTTCAAAAAAAGATTTAATGAATAATTAAATTCCAATCTATATTGCAAAAACATAAACGGACCCTGTTAACCTTAATTGTTAAATAAAACCGTATACAGCTTTGCTACTTACAAGGTGGTTACCACTGTACATCTTCTGTACTTCTGTGGAATCGTGAATCACGATAAGTTCTACGCCCACCTGCCGCCACCGACGACTGTATTACGCATACCCAGTTCAATATTAAAGTGTGAAGCGAGGTTTTTGAGTGCGTTTAATGTGAATATTAGGACGGTCAAATTAAAAAAGAATCTTTGTTCAAAGTTTTAAGTTTAGTTTTGTGATGATGGAGTCCGATTCTGATCAAATGTAAGTTGCATAATATATTATAGGTAATCAATAGCTGATATATTTTAAAATCGTAGGGATCAACCCTCTACGAAAACAAGAAAAAAGAAACAAAATAATTAATAAAATTATTATTATTATTAAAGTAACTAGTGAGCATCTTAAACTAATGAGCCAAAAAAATTTGTACTCAAAAGATTAGTGGCAAGTAGTGTATTATTTAAGTTAGATAATTAAGAAAATTCCGTTTTTTTATCTAATAAAGTTTTATTTTTAAATGTAATTTTTAATATATTTTTTTAAACCATATTATGAATTCAATATGTAATACAAAATTGGGGGTGGCGAGTAGACAGAAAAAATAGGGTAGACTTAGAAAATAAAAATCTAGGGAATTCTAGGGAGAAAAAATGAATGTTAGGGATTTTTAGCAGAATCGTCT